CCAGTGAAGTAATTCCTAGGCACTTCGGATACCTGTAGGACGTAAGATTCCCTAAGGTTGTAAAGTCTGACGATAAGAAAGTTACTTACCGCAGTAAAGGAACTTAGACAAGTTACGTGAAGTAATCAGAGAAGATTATTCCCGGTGACAATGTGATTAAATTTTAGCCAATCACAAATCAGTATCATGTTTATCACGTGATTATACAAATTTTTAAATTTGAAACATATAATAAATGACTTGATGATTTTTAATGAAACATACTATATGATTGACAAAAAAGCTATCTAATAATAATAAAAATAAATATATATCAATTATAGCAATTATAGTTGTACAATCTGCAATAAGAAGGTAATTTACAAAAAAAAGAATTTCAACATATAGAGAATATATAAAGAACTAATAAAATTACAAATAATATAATATATAAAAAGTTCTGATATAGATGTTTATTTTATTATATATTTTATAAAAGTAGCAAAAAGCAACGAAAGGCAAATATTAAAATGTAATAAATTATTGGCCCTGTTCAATTCTGTTCCACTTTGATCTGATCCGATTTTCATGAAATTATTTTGACCAATTAAAAAATGTCAAGAATTAAACAGATAAATACTAAGTTGATCTGTTTTATTTTTAAATTTTAACCAATCATGTCAATTAAACATAATGCAGACTATACTTTATTCTTATTAATAATGGAAGAGATAAATGATTCTTTTAAAAATGAACTAAACCTAAATAAACTAGATAATGATAACTATGAACTAATAAAAATATTTCTTCTTGCTTTGTCTTCTAGTCATTATCTTGTTTCTCGAACACATAATGTTGTTAAATCTAAATATTGGTGGTATGAAATCTTACCTTTATATAATGTTATATGATATAAAAAAGTATTAAGAATGAAAAAACAACAATTTAATAGGCTAGTACAAATCTTACAGTATGGTATAGTATTTCAAGACAAAGGAAATAAGTTACAAGCATCTATTGATTTTCAATTAGCAATATTTCTTTGACGACTTAGTTCTAAAGATAATATCATGAGTATTTGTTCTCAATTTGGAGTATCAGAAGGTTCTGTAATTCTTTATATTAATTGTGTAATGAAAGCAATAAGAAATAAAAAATCAGAATTTGTTCAATGGCCTAAAGACAATAATCGAAGTGTTATTCATACAGGATTTCAAAATATTGGTGGATTTCAAAACGTTTAGGAGCTATAAATAGAACTCATTTTATTTTAACTGAGGCACCAACACAAGATCCAATAGCATACTTTACAAAAAAAAAGATATGCAATTCAATGTCAAGGAATTGTTGAATTTAAAGGAATTTTTATTAATTATATAATAGGATAGCCTAGATCGGTATATGATGTACAAGTTTATAACAATTCAAATTTTTATCTTAATAAAACAGAATATATTCAAGATAAAGATTATGTGCTAGATGATTCAGCATATCCAATTTCCTCTTTTTTGATATCTCCTTTTAAAAATCCTTCTAATCGTAGGCAATATCAGTTTAATTTTATTCATTTAAAGCATAGGGTTGTTGTAGAACATGCATTTGGTAGATTGAAAGCTAGATTTAAAGCTTTAAAAGAAATCTCTGTTAAAGATTTAAAAACAGCTGTTAATTTAGCTGATTGTGCTATAATATTACATAATTTTCTTGAAATGAGTGGCGAAACTTGGGAAATTATAGAACAGGATGATTATGATAATAATAATCAATATGATTTTGATAATGAAAGTAATGAGATTTTGAAGTTAGAAAGAGAATTTAAAAGAGAAGAAATGTTAAATCAATTTGTTGTATAAATAAATTCTAGGATAATTAGTAAAATAAAATTT